ACCCCAGTTGGAAAAGTGCCTCCCGTTTGTCTCCAGATTGAGCCTGGAATTAATCTTCCCTGATCTGAACTAGGAGTCAGATATGAGATGTTTAGACAGCTTCCTCAAAGAAATCATCAGCACCATTTTTCCATAGTTCTCTCTGTGGTCTACAGAAAGGACCTAAATTACTTGTCCAGACTATGCTTGCAGAACTGAACTTCTAACAGTACACAATTTCCCCCTAGCTAAAGCACCTGATAATTTCTTCTACTGATAGGATAAACTTTTAAAATAATTGATTTTGTGTTTGTTGTTAATTTGTTGCTGCTCTGAAAAAAAAAAAAAAGTTTTTTCTTAGTTTAATACTGTAAGATTTATATATATTTATTTGTCTATACATCTATCTCTAGCAAGATCCTGGAAACCTTGGGTTACCTCTGTCTCTTCTTTACTTCAGCGCAAGCAAAGTGACTTACAGAAGTCAGAAGAAGTGGCATCAAATAAGACTTCCCTGGATCATTTGGGCTTATAATTATTCTTTTGATGCAAGTGAAAACACACATGTTTATTCCTGGATCCTTTCAGATACACCATCTTGATTTATCATAATCTTTGTCTCACCTGATGAGCATACATAATAGACATAAATTGTTAGGTTTATCCTTCAAGAACTATTCAAAAAAGGAGATTTTTACAATATGAGGTATTAAATATAAATAAATCAGACTAAATAGATCACTCAGAAGACATATGCATTATTAGATCACATTCTAAATGTTGTGAGGAATACATAAAAGCTGGTTAAAACCCAGAGGTAATCCAGAAAGCTTTAAGAAGAGGGTATGAGCAGTGATTTGTAACACAGGTGATCACAACACTGATAGGTGAGGCACTGCATTATACACACCTCGGTCTTAACATCATTTAGGCTTTTCAATCATTTTCAAATTATTTCCAAAGCAAATTAGCAGCATCACCTGAGTTTTTGGTTTGTTTTTTGGGTTTTTTTTTTGCCCCACTGGTTTCCCCTAGGTTTCTTTGGGTTCTAGGCACACTTGAATTATTAAAAGTCAGAAATTAGCTGTTGAAAATTATAGAGAAAAATCTTTGATTTTTCAGCATTTGATCTGTAGGTCTAGTAGGTTACTTTTATTTCTCTGATTCAGTGATTATTTGGCTGAAAACTGATTAATTCATAAACTCTTAGTCAGCAGCTCTACTTGTAAAAGTACCAAAACATGGAAGTATAAGCTGATATCCCATGCTTTCTCTCAGGCTTTTTGGAGGATATGTTGGTCCTTCCCCTTGTTGTAAGAACAATAAACATTGCTTTCTGTTCTAGGTGATCCTAATTACATCTATTTAACAAGGTATTTTTGCTACTTAGTTTCTCAGCAAAAACCTTATCAATATAATAATTAGCAGGACCAGACCCTGGAATGTAACTCTTCTGTTAGATAACTATATCAATTCAATTAGACAAGAGGAAGAAATTTGTCACAGCTGGAAAAAGAAACTCAGATCCAAGAGCAAGCCAGAAAATAGAGATAAGGGTCTCCACAAGAACAGAAGCATCTAGAATAGATGATCCTGTGTTTTTCTTGTTCCCAGTTCTTTAGCTTGTCAAGGGTTGAAATTATTCATCCACCTTCCCACCAGTTCTTCACTTCCAACTTCAATTAACAAATTCATTCTGGACCTTTCTTTCAGTGCTTAATGCCCTCCCCTCCCCTTGTAAATGAGAGCACTGGTGAATAATTTGCAGTGTCTAGAGTGCTTCTTTAAACACATTAAATTTAATATAAAATTCAATTGAAGATCAAGGCAGATTCCTCAAAATACAAAAGCCAAAGTTATTTTGACTGTTCATTGCTGTTTTCTAAAAGGTGGTGGTCAAAACAAAAATTTGGAACAAACCATATAAGAGAACAGAAGCAGTCTTGTACAAAGGCAAAATCCTACAAATGAAGTAATCTTTTGGATACGAACAGGCAACCCCAAAAAAATAGTTAAGGTATGCAATTTACAAAGACATTATTTTATTCTTTGTAAATACAATTTTAAATTGAAAAGGTCAGACAAGTAAAATTCCACATAAGTGATTCATGTACCAAGTACACAATAAACAGAGAATAACCAAACTTTATTCTATGAATGAAACATCTGGGCCCCTGAATATCTGTAAACAGTTTGAAACCGAAGCTGAAATTTGAAGACATTATCCAAAGTTGCTGGAGTGTAAATCAAAATTGCAAAGAATCCTGCAGCTCACTGCATGTTTGTTAAGCATTTCTAATCTCATACAAAACTGAAAATGTTCAGAAGAATTTAAGTGAAGCAACATTTCTAACACGTTTGACATTCATTTTCCAGGAAGATTAAACCAATACGTAACCTACATTCAGGCTCTATAGGTCAATGAGTGCACATAAATGAGCTGATTTGGGAATGTATTACACCTACTCTCCACTCTCACTCCTTCCTGTATATGTATATACACAGGGAGTCCAAGGATTAAGCCACCACAATACTTATTCTAGTAAAAATTTTTTGATAGTAAATATAATATTTCATACTACATTTGAAAGCAAAAATGTTTATTCTGGCTTAAGTTGTTCCTGTTTGTTTTGTTTAAAAGCTGAAGAGTCACTTTCAAAGCAAACTTTAGAACCAAGAAATCATTCAGAATCTAGAATTCCCATTCAGAAGCAATGAGAAAAATAAATCAATATTTTTAATGACTTATGATTTCCAAGTGAATCAAGAAGTAAAGTTAGAGGTGTGTTTACTTTCCCATAAACTTTAGCATATACAAAAATAAAGTGCACAGCTCCAGCTAAAGTGGTTTTGAGGACACTTAGGTGACAAGAGGTCTGCTGAAATGGCTCTTTCAAGATATATTTTCTGCTGCAAATATGAGTTCCACATAAATGTACTCTTCTTCTGTAATATAAACAACCACATCTGTAATATGAACACATTTAAATGGAAAATATGGGCCTAGAATTATGGAGCCATATTGCAGATTGAGAGTATCTGTAGTAAATTCAATCAATGTGGGTTCACATTCCTGTATTTGAGAGCAAATTAGTTGTTACCAACCTACTCACTGAATATTTGATTGAAATGTTAGAAATTACATTAAAACATTATGAGCCATGATGGCATTTTCTTAATATCTCCTTCAGTTCACTGTGCATGTGTGGAAAATTTCTTTAAATCAGATTTTAAATTTATCTATTATGGGATAAACCCTACTTCATCTGGAAACTGATATCTCTGGTGTTAGCTGAAGCTGACAGAAATTCAGTACAGAATTTGATGCATTTTATCAGGGACTGCCATGCTATCAGAATGATAACAACAGGATTTTAATTTGAATTAGTTTTCTATGAAATTTATTAATTCATTTTTTATACTAAGAAATCCATGGCTCACACATGTATTTCTGCTTAGGGAGAGAAGTGTTAATGTCCATCACTAATACAATATTTTTATAGCTTTAGAGTACCATACATTTTAACAATCTTGGAAACTTAAGAAGCTGTCTAAAAGTAAGCAAAAAAAGCAGAATTCCTCTCTGTGCTTACTAGAACATCTGATCCAACACTTTCCTTTGAATAGCTGCTCATGACAGAGGTCACTGTATGTTTTGTAAGGTTTTAAAATTCAGTCAAGATAGAGCTGATTATATGGAGAGCTCACAAGAAAGACATTAAGGCAGAGACTTTTTAACTCATACAATCAAGGGAGAAAAAAGTAGCCACCACTGTCTCACTGCCTGAAGCAGGACAGATTTCTCTTGTACAGAAAATGTGGAAGGCAATCACAGCTTCACAATTTCCTGGTGCTTTCCATCCAAACACCACATAACACTAAAGAAACATTAATGAATTAAGCTGCTTAATATATCTACAAAGTACAGTAAGGAAGGACTGTGGGGGGGGTTTTGGCAGATATCCTAGAAACCTGAAGTTGCTGATCATAAAATGATCCAAAGCAATGTTTGGAAGCCATGAAGAAAAAATTACATCTTTTTTCATAATCTACAGAGTTCATTGTGAAAAGTTAAGGAAAAAATCACTACCAAGGTATTGCTGGTTGAGTAATTTTCAATAGATGTGGTTTTTCAATAAAAGGAAACAGAAAGAATTAAGAAGAATGCTCATGGAAAAAAAGTTGATTTCAAAATTATGTCTGTTATTTAGGTTATCATCCATTTCTCAACTTCCAGAGCTCCTAAGAGTCCCATTTACATTTTAAAAATACAGGACTAGTTAGTAAGCCAGAAAAATGAAAATTCAAGTTACAATTAATTAAACTCTTCAGATTATTTAGTAAAGGTGTGAACAACTTTTCACAAAAACAGTAGCTTGAATGTTAAAAACATGTCTGGACATTAGCACTTCCAGTTCTTGTAAGGCTTGGAAAGGAGAGAAAATTAACACTGTGTAATGATTTTAAATCATAGGTGGAAAATCTTACATTATGAAAAAAAACCACAAACACTACCAAAGATTTTTCTAGAATTCTATGGATTTCTTTAGGAAATATCAGTCAATGTAAATAAAGAGCTTTCTGTTAGTGTGTACCTTCTGATGGAACACATCTTTATACAGCCTAAGAATGTATTCTAGCATCATTTGAAGCCAGCATTTGAACTTTTTTTTTTTAAATTTTTCTCTCAGTTACATAATTCTATTAAAATATAACAACAGTTAAGAGGTGGAATCAGACTGTAACACGCCTTTCATTTCAAAGTATATACTTGCAGCTTTTAGGATTACTTTTCTCCTAATACAAATTAGACTAAAACATTTATTAAAAAACCTACAAAATGTCCTAACTATAGAAAAATATCAGTGATATAACATCAGAAGCATTTAACATCAGAACAACAAATTCTTGGCTTCATTACCTTAATTTAACTATATTAAACAAAACATTTGATTAGATGGCAATGATAAGGTCTTGTGTGTCTTGGCAGGAGAGTAAAATTAAAAATTACCTTTGCAAACCACAGTAACAAGTTTTCTTATTCTGTCCCTTTGCTCTGACAAATCACACGTTCATGGGTTTAGAATAAATAAGTCATAAATAACAATAGGACTAAACCAAAATAAAATTGTACATGTGTTATCTTACTGTGTACCTATCATCTTCATTATTGTTCAAAGGTTTTTGGCTCCCATTTATACAAAGCTCTCTTCCATATTTGTGCACAGCAGAAAAGAATCCACGAGTCTGGGCTTTACCAGCTGCTGAAAATCTGAGTCCTCCAGCCCATCAGGACTCATTACTGCCAGTCTCCTCAGGGCTGCCTGGAAAAACAAAACACCATTGCAATGCAGTCAGGTTTGGCAGAGCCTCCATTGCAGGAATCCATTATAACCACACCTAAATGACAGCCAGAACTCAAAACTGAACTCTGCAGGTCTATGGGTTCTGCTACCTGGGTAATCTCTCCTCACTGTCTTCATCTGTCAGATGAATCTTCCCTCATGCAAAGTTATTTAATGACAATTATTTTGGGGTACTTTACTTTTAGACCTGAACAGCAGGTCTAAGTAGAGTACAAACCCTCAGACACCAGTGACAATACCTATCAGAGCTTGAAGCTTATGTCTCAAGGACAATATTTTTGCCACATTTTTATCAGAAAACATCTTCAGGCAATTACTAAATATCAGGAGAAGGAGGATTTCTGAGACAGGGAGGTAGGTAATGTCTCAAGCAATAGGCATGGATTCAAGGAATGTGCAGCAACAACTTCAGTGAGACAGAAAAATCATAGTCTGGTTTGCTGCCATTGCTCTGTGGTCTCTGCTCTAACCACACAAGATTAACAGGTCTTCTTGGCATGTAGGAAGAATAATCACAGCATTTTCTATGCTCACATTTATACTTTCTTCATCCTGAATGGGACCAGCTTAAACGAACAAGCTGCAATAACCAAGTATTCCTTTTAGATTTAAAATAACATTAATGTCATAAAGCAGTGTCAAACGATATTCTTCAGTCTTCATTCACCAGAGCTTGTGCCCCAGCCCTAGATCACCCATGTCCCCAGAGGCCTCTCACAGAATGCTCAGTGAAATCATTCAGCTCTGGCATTTGGCTCGCAGTTCTTGCAGTGCAGGGCCAGAAGATGGGATCTTTCTCCTGAGCAGAGACAGTGTTAAGCTTCTGGTGCCCACTCCTTGCTGGGCACTTTATTGTCTTGGCAACACAAATAGAACAAAAAATTGGATTGGAGTGGAAGTAAGAAATATCTTTTTCTCTTTTTGGATGCTTTACATAAATATTTTCATATATATGCATGAGTGCAGATAAAGGGCTGCTACCCGCGTGACTCAAGGCTAATTTCAACATAGAACCATCACAGAATGGAATTTAGGAATTAATGAATCCTTAAATTCCAAAGTGTTCCAAGGAAATTTTTTTTGGCGCCCAGAAATGTGAAGATGAAGCCATTTTTCCTTATGTGCTTAAGTCTTCAATCTGAGGATGAATAATTGACAGTGTACAGGATTATGCTTAAGGGGAAAAGCAGGAGACCCTGACATGAATTTAAAACATTTCTGCAATACTTATGAATTTTGAAATCTAAAGGGATGTTTTTTCCTTAATTTCCCAGTATAAGCGTGAAAGGAAGACTAAAATGTACATACCAGACATGCCACTAAAACAGAATCGCTGTTATTTCTTTCTGTTGGTGATCTGCAAAGTTTAATCAGGCGAGGAATACCTGAGAGCAACAAAAGAGTGTCAGGAGAAATAATTTAGAAAAATAGCTCCTTATTTTGTGATATTTTTTAGATGCATCGTATTTATCTCTTTTTTTTTAGTAGATATGATCTCTAATGCAAAGATGATATGCAAATACTTAAAGAACTTTCCATGGAGCTATGCAGTTCAGAGCAGTCATAATTAATAGTTGTAAAGTATAAACAAATAAATTGGGCTTACTTGCTGCTGAAATTTCAGAGTGGAAATTGTCACCTGCATTTCCTCCCTACCAATCCTCCCACACACCCTTTAAAAACTCCTACCCAAAGAACATGTTCCCTCCCACTGGATTCATCACATCTGGACCTGCTGGGGTCCCAGTTTTCTGTGCCCTGACAGACCCTGCATAAAGGAATGAGGAGGCAGCAGTGTCAGTTGGCACAGCAAGGCACAGCTATGTCTTGAGTGGATGCTGCACCTCAGGCTCCTCTGGGAAACAAGCCAGAGGTTCATTTAGCTCCATCTCCTCCGTCATCCACTGGACAGACTCTATAGGGAGTATCTCTCATAAAGTTCACCAAGTGAGGCTAGAAATTAAGAAGAGCTTCTCCATGACTGGCAGTTGCTCCCTCTTTCAGTGCCATTAAGCAGGAGACACATCCTTACAGCTGAGTTTTACGGCTGCCTCTGCCACCTCGGGATCTCGGCTGAGCCGTGCCAGGGTAACCGCAGATTTCTGCTGGACTCGCTCACAAGCTGCAGCTTCTGCTGGATTTCCAGAGGAGGATTTCTCAAAGAGCATCTCCATTAAAAGTTGAACACCTGAAAGAATACAAGAGACATTATTATTCGCTCTCCAACAAAAATCTCAGTGCAAAAAAGGGGAAAGGAAAGCTGGGTTAATACAAAAAGGGAGAATGGAGAATACATAAATGAAGGCTGCAATTTTGACTTCAGCACCCAGGCACATCTGATCTATGCCTAAGTTTGTCTTCACTAGAAAGCTACAGAACTTCTGGAACTAGAAAATGCACTAACTCTTCCCTCCTCTAAAAGTTGGTATTTTAAATTTCACTAATTTTTTTCAGTCAACCAAATGTAATTCCTTATTTAGTTCTAAATTAACCTGAAGACAATCACTAACTGAAAAGCCTGTAGTGACATATTTTAGGTCTCTAAATGAAGTTTCACACTCAATTCAAGTAATTCTTTGTTTGTTTGTTTACATTTTTTAAAACAAGCCTTTAAAAGTTTCCTTCTCAAACTGTTTAAGGGTATTTTAGAATGAGGAATCCTTTAATGAAGGAAATGATGAAATTCTGTTTCTTGAACTTTACTGTATAACCCTTCATTCCAGAAGAGACAATGTTATCCCTGTCGAAGTGGCTTCATTAACTTATTGTTGCCTGTAGGAGTTGATATTCTTCTTGTAGCACCACAAAAAAAGATGATTTCTCTTTTCTAGATTATTTTAAGTGTAAAGACAATTATGTGCTATTAGACTCCATATGCTATTAGGCATTCAGATTACATCAGGTAGCATCAGAGGATTTTAACTGTTAGAACATTTGCATAAATAATTCAGAGAATTATCATCAGAACCATGCAGCTAGATAATAATCAATCAACATACAAGAAAGTCAGAGTTGAGAAGTACCTAAATTCTCCAGCATTCAAAGACCATTTCCAGAATGTGGAAAGTCAGAGTTGAGAAGTACCTAAATTCTCCAGCATTCAAAGACCATTCCCCTCTGACTAGCACCTGTTTATTATAACATGAGGCAGACGCAAAAAAGATTTTACGCACAGGATGAGTGCCAACCCCTCTCCAAAGCCAGAGGGCAAATGCTTCTTGTGAAATTCCATGGCGGGATGTATAGACAAATTTTACTTGACCTAGCAAAGCAATATATGTGAATTTTCACTGTAATTTAATGTTTCCCACCAAAAAAAAAAAAAAAAAAAAAAAAAAAAAAAAAAAAAACCAAAGGAAAAAAAAAAACAAAGGCATAAAAAAAAAAAAAAAAAAAAAAAAAAAAACAAAAGAAAAAAAAAAAAAAAACAAAGGCATCCATCTAATTTGATTGGCTTTGAATTTTCTGGTAGGTGTATTAGTAAGGCATTTACATCTTACAACAGTATTACCTGTATTACCACAACACAGGTTGCTGAAACACATTTTACTACTTTGCTTTGCATCTAGGAGTAATAGCAACCAGAACATCAGCAACGTGGTCACAAATGCAAAGTTTCCTAAAACAGTGGCATTCTGTTATGTGGAACCATCATAACTCATTTTGCACCCTGCAGCAATGTGCAATACGCAGCAGAGACAGGATGAAAAATGAAGCTTTATTAGTGAAGCCTTTCTCCTCTACCTTGTAAGTACTACATTCCCATCTACTCAGACTCTCCAGAAATAAATAAAAAATATAGTTCAGCTAAAATACATACCATTTCCTTGAATGATTTCTGAAGCACACTGATCCAACACAGACATGTTTGCCAATATCGTCACCACCTGTTGTTAAAAAGAGAAGGAAATATGAAGTCCAGTCCTACAGTTCAGTAATGTTAAATATCATTGTGGTTCATAAAATAAATATGGCAGAAATATGGCAAATATTTGAGAATGCTGATGTTGCACTGAATCGGTTCAGGTGAAATGCTAAGAAATCCTTGCAAGAGATCTGGAGCTTTGATTCAAGGGAATATTTAAGGAATATTTTTCAGTTTTGTTGAAGTCAAGAATTGTGTGCATGACAAGGCATTGTCACAAAAGTAACTGGACTTAAAATTCTGTTTATAATTTCCAGAGGTAAAGACCATGGTTAGGCTTTGTACCAACACATTCTGTGATGGTATGTGCACAAGCACATCCTGAGATCTTGATTTACAGCATTTCTTATCCCAAATATCTTTAACTGTTTTTGAGATTAGTGTTACTCAACTTGCTTAAAGTGATGCAGCAAGCCACTAACAGAGTGGCTGAACCCTGTGGTGCTGTTGGCTTTCAGTCAGCCATTCCCTCATTGATATCACATACTTTCTCACACATCCTGCAAGGCATTCTTCTCAGTCTTTCAAATACTTTGCTTTTTGCATGCAGACACATTCCAATATTAACAGCATATGTGAGAGACCAAATAATAAATGCTAGAGATCATCAGAATGCAAAACAGAAATAATATTCTTTCTTAAGACGTTTTAAATTTTCTCTAATCTAATTCAGGAAAACTGACCAGCCTCAAAAATAATGGTCAGTTTTGGAATTGGTTATCAGCTTTTTAACAGTACAGTGTCACTTCAGAAACCAGCAAACTTCTTAGATGTAAGGAGGCATGAGATCAAATCACCATTCTGATCTCACTTTGCCATTTCAAAAACAAGGATGACTCATTTCCGATGCTGTGACATAAAGGTCTTCCACTTTTGAAGGTGGTGTTACAGTGTCATCTCCCTGAATAAATATACTTACTTAGCATGCAAATGAGTTGCTGAAACTCTGCACAGTGACAGGTAGAAATATGGTAACTCAGTGTATGTCTATGTATTTATTCCATATTAATTATTAACTGTGTTGCAGGCAGAGTGTATATGTTTTCCTCATTCTAAATTATATCCCGTTAATGAAAATTGCTTCCTCTGTGCAGAATCTGTACCCCATGTGGCTCTCTAAGCCACAGATGAAGAATTCAATTAACCACAATTTGAATACATGCCAATTATTCCACTGCTTCAAGTTATTTTGTCTAATAAGTATTTTCATACATAAAAATAGTTTGTGTGCATCTTTTGACACCAAAAAATTATTTGAGGTTATAGCTATACTTCCTTCATGTTGATTATGTGGCCCCCATATTTTGCAATATTTATGGACTAACTTAGAGGGTTTGTACGTAACATTCTCCAGAGGGGCGTAGAAAAGACCCTTATGATCAATGACCATGAAGTTCTACCTATATTGTCTTCTAAAATCTCAGTAGGACTCAAAAGGTAGTTAAGCCATAGATTAGCTCACTCCATATGGATAAACTTTTTTTCCCCAAGAAAATTCTTTTCCTGCAAGGTAAACAATGTAATAAAATAGGATAATGTATAAATGTAATAGGCAAGCAGAACAAAGAGTTGACTTTAAATGCTCCATTTCCCCTAAACTTTCCTATTTTAAAGTTCATGCAACATGAAAATTTCCTCTGTAACACAAACCAAAGTTCAAGGAAGTCTCCTATTATGGATGAACTCTCTAGAGGAAAACACAAACAAATGTAGACTAAATTTTCTTCAGAAAGTAACACTTCTGTGAGCACTGGTATTAATGAAGTCTCATCTCTTTTGCATTTATAGTTGATGAAAAAACATAAATAGATATTTGCCAGTAGGTTCTCTCCCACTGTAGATTTTTTTTTCTTTTTGTATACAGAAGCTTATACTGCATTCTTTATCTTTGCTTCTCTTCCCATTATCTGGCTCCAAATTTCATAAAGCCTTAGGCAGTTTCGAAAATAACTACAAAGTCCTGTTGAATCAGCAAACCAGTTCAGATGTTATTGTGAGACATGGAGCACACAGATACAGATAAAAGTGACTGCCTAAGCCTCATTTAATACTTGAAAATTACTGGAAAAGAATACATACCAAAACCTCTTTCAGAACTGAAATGACTCTGAAGTAATTAAAAGGCTTGAAGATATTTAATGTGGAATATCTACTGTTCAACTGCAATGTTTAGTATCAATTTCATTAATTGCTCAAGTAATTGATCCTGTGAAAGAGCACACTCCACGACTACAAAGCACTGGCACCTGAAAAAATTTATGATTCTTGAAATTCTTTTGGATTCCTAAGCCATGCAATGAACTTGTGGTCAACTCAAAGTGTAAGAAAGGAGACATCTGAAGACAGGATGCATGAGCTCTGGTCATCTGTCATTGCCTTCCTACCATGGAGAAGGAATGTGCTGAAGCCACATGCCAATTCTTGACCTGTGGGATTTGTAGATGTGCTATGAAGCAAATTTTGTCAGGGAATCCAGCATAATTCCCTACCCCAGCACCTGTATCTATGCTAAGCAGAGCTGCTTTGGAGGCGAATCTTGACCCATGCATTTCCAATATCTGTGTTTTAGCAGTGCTCTCAAAAGACTGACACAAGCTGACTTGTCACTGTCATATTTTCTGGAAAAATCCCTTTGACAGGATTTCTTCTTCTGGGAAGCTGAGAAGCCTCAGAGAAAAAGGAAAACAATAATATCTCATTTGCTTCTCCTGTGTTTTTCTGCTTTGGAATGTGTTTGGACATTGTTTACCAACAGGTGGCTGTTTCATTGGTTTCATGTGAATTGTTTTTGACTTATTGGCCAATCAGGGCCAAGCTGTGTTGGACTCTGGAGAGAGAGTTACAAGTTTTTCTTTAGTATCTTTTAGCCTTCTGTCTGTAACCTTTCTGTATTTTTTAGTATAGTTTAGTATAGCACTATTTAATATAATATAGATGTTAAAATAATAAATTAGCCTTCTAAGAACATGAAGTCAGATTCATCATTCCTTCTCTTGTCTAGAAATCCTGCAAATACAAGACTGGCCCACACTCCTTTCTCTGATCTCCAAATCCATCAAGAATTGCAGCTGCCTCTCTCTGCTAAACCTGGTGTCTGCAGTTTGTGAACTGGCAGCCCTAAATCCACTGTACTAATGAAGACCACAGAAAAATAGACTTGATCAACAAATAATCAGCACAGAAACATATAACAGCTTGGATTGGAAGCGACATTAAATCTCATCTAATTCTCTGTCATAGGTAGAGAAAATTCCCACTTGACCAGGTTGCTCAGAGCCCCATCCAGCCTGGCACTGGACACTGCCAGGGATGAGACATCCTCAGCTTTTCTGGCAACCTGTGCCAGTGCCTCACCACCCTCACAGCAAAGAATTTCTCCCTAACATCTAATCTAAACCTACTCTTGTTCAGTTTGAAGCCATTCCCCTTGTCCTGGTTCTACATGCCCTTGTAGGAAGTCCTTCTCCACCTTCCCTGTTGGCTCCCTCAGGTCCTGGAGGCCCTATGACATTTGTTTGCCATCAGAAGGGAGCTGGATGGATGATTCAGGTCAGTGTCACGAGTTGCACTGCTAAAAACAACCAGAGGAACAGACCTCCAGGGCTCCTCCTGTGCTCAACACCTGCTTCCCTGTGCTCTGCACACCTGACCCCCAGGGCACTGAGACACAGGGCAAGGCAGAACGTCAGCACAGGAATTCTCAGGCCAGCTCATGTTTTAGCACCTTCTGAAGGGGCACCAACTTAGCAAAATAGCAAAATGCAGAGATTTCACAGAGAGTAGTAAGATTTTTTGCAAGACTCCGAGATTAAACAGTTAAAACTGGACTTAAAAACTTAAAAGTTTTAAGCTAAAATTGAACTTAAAAAATTCAGAACTTAAAAAAGCACACCCAAAATCAAGAAGCTTTGAAGGTTCATCTTTAAAAGTTTTGTTGGTGAACTGAGTACACAGGGATATTTGAGAGGCCCCTTAAGACCCATGGAAAATTTCCCTGTTTATGAAATGAAATTGAAAAATAACAGTATTATTTCATATTTTTCAAATGTCAATACAGCATCATCTTCTTAGTCTTGCAGTTACCATGGAAATTAATCTGAAATCTAATCCAAAATCTTCATTTTTATAAGCAAAATAATTAAACTGATATTAGACACAGATACATCTCTAGTGACAATATAATATATTATTATAAAATTGGCAGTGTTGATCTTTTTTGGTTATTCTATATATATTTCATAATTTAAAATTTGTTTCGATTCCCACACAGTTTCCTTCCACTCCCTCAGACTTTCACACGTATTGAATTTATGAGTGGTGAACCTTCCGTTTAAGTTCTGTAGTCTGCTTTGCCCTGAACTTTAGGAATTTCAGTTGCCAAGAGCAATTTAAATTTGAGAAACCATGGTTGATGAAGAATCTTGAAAATTGTTTTCTTCAAACAACAGTCACCTTGGAATTTTTTTTTCTAAAATACATTACTAACGCTATAATAAAACTTTTCTAAATAACTAATGGTGACTAATGCTCATCAACCAGTGTTCAAAGGTACTGAATCTTTGCTGCAAAACTAAAAACTAGGTACAAACGCTTTACACTGAAAGCGTAAACCTGTATTTATCAAAGAGATTTAAACTTAAAGAACATTTAAGAAACAGAGGGCTTCTCTGAAAACTTTCCCTTAGTGAGAGATTTAAGAAAGTTTTTCTCTTTAATTGTGAAACCAATTACTAAGGAAGAAAGATGCCAAAGGATTTGGAGGATGAAAGCACACATTTTTTTAGCCTGCTAAAGGGCCAATATCTTCCACAATTGAGGATCCTTACCTCATTTGTGGGAGGGGGAAGTGTCTACAGATGTGGAAGGTGTGATGCTAATATACCTTTATTGACCTTTATTGATAATAAAGGCACACTGCTCAGTAGGCTTTTATCAACAGTCTTGACATAAAAAGAAAGACAC